AAGAAAAATATATGCTACAGGGGGTCGGACCAGAAAAGTTTTTTTAAGCTTCTTCTTGCCCCTGTTGAACATGACAGAGACTATTTGAGAATTATTGTTGTTTTTGTTTTGTTTTTGTTTTTTGTTATTATTATTTTTTTTTTGTACTTTGTTATAATTATTAATTTGAGTGAGAAAGAAAAAGGGGGGGGGAAAAAAGAGTATATATATATATTATTCTTGTATGTTTTTGTTTCTGACATGTTCAATAAACTGACTAAAGTAAAATGTGTAAGCTTTCTGCTGTCCTGATTTCAATGGGGAGCTCATTCCACCATTTTGGAGCCAGGATAGCAAACCCACGTGTTTCTGCTGATGGGAACTTGGGTCCCCCTCGCAGTGCGGGTGCAGCGAGCTGTTTGGCTGATGCAGAGCGGAGTGCACGTGCTGGGGTGTACGGTTTAACCATGTCCTGGATGTAGGAAGGACCAGATCCATTAGCAGCATGGTACGCAAGTACCAGTGTCTTGAAGTGGATTCTAGCAGTTACTGGAAGCCAGTGAAGGGAGCGGAGGAGTGGAGTGGTGTGGGAACATTTAGGAAGGTTGAAGACCAGACGAGCCGCTGTATTCTGGATGAGCTGCAGAGGTCGGATGGCATGTCTGTGGTATTGGAGTGTATGTGAGTGGCTTTGGATAAAAGTGTCAGCTAAATGTTTTTAATAATCAATGAATAATCTTTCTTTTCTGTAGGAGGAATCGGCGCTCAGACGACCTGCAGAATGCTCAGCAGAAGACAGACGGGGGTGAAACTTCCAAACAACCAAATGGAAACACACCTGCATCTCCCCAAGAGCCCTCAGAGGTGGAGCAGCTCCCACAGCAGGAATCCAGTCCAGAACCAGAACCAGCGTGTCTTCCGCAGTCCCCATCACGTTACATGAGGCGTCTGCCCCCTCCTCCAGGCTTCTACCTACCCAAGGAGCACAGCTACGCTCAGCTCTGCCCCCTGCTGTGGAGGAGACGCTACGACCAGGCCATAGACTGCTTGGAGAGAGCCTTACGACAGCTGCATGCGGCCCGGCGGAGGGAGAACCGCCTGCGGAGCACCGTGCTGAGGCTGCGGGACAAACGGCTGAAGCACACTCTGCTCCTGTCACAAGATGGTTCTAGAACCTGGGGGGAGAAGAGACTAGGCAAAGGAGGTTCTAACCAGGGGGGGGGAGATGCTAAATCTGAGGGCGTAGGGTTGTTTGAGGACAGATGTGTGGATCGGATGGAGCATTGTCTGCCAGACTCTAGCAGCTGCTCTGAGGAGGAGAAGGGATTCTGCTTCTACTGTAGAAGAGGGCCGGAAGCACGCAGAGCTTCAAAGACTTCAAATGATGTGGAGCCTGCAGTGCATGAGGACACGCTAAAAATGAGGGACCGGGTAGAAACCAGTACGGCCGCAAACACTCCAAACATACAGGAAAGACCACCTGGAAAAAGGGTAGAAAGTAGTGACTTAAATGGAACAAATCCCCAAGTCCTGCTCCAAACTCAAGGTGTCCAACATGTGATCCCTGGGATGTCTCTGTCTGATTTTCATGAGCAACTGCTGCTCTCTGAAGGGGAGAGTGGGGCTCTGGGTGAGGAGGCTCCCCTCCAGCAGCTGTTCCTGATACAGGGGGGGGGAGAGGGGCAGCTCCTCCTGGTGCCTGTCCCTGCTCAAGATAAAATACAGAGCTTTCTCAAGATGGAGTGCGCTCCTGATGAAGGGCAAGTTTCAGAACTGGAAGTGAAACAGCTGATGGAGAGGGGGGGAGGCCAGCATTCTGTCCTCAGCACCGAAACGGGGGAAGATGTGAGGGAGAAACTTAAAGAACATCTGGAGGGATTTCACCTCCAGCTCAGCACAGACTTTATAAACTGAAGGGATGTTCTGAATGAACACGACAAACCATGCTGTTACAGTAATCATTCCTTTGTGCCACTCTTACATTTACTGAATGTGTATTTCAGAGGCTGCACGGCTTTATGGGCTTCTTCAGTTCTTCTTCTTTTGAAGGATGAATTGGTTGTTTCATGTGCAGAGTGAATATATCTGTTTGTGTTTCACAGCCTGGTGGTTCTTCTTCCTCCCAGCTCCATTGTTGTTATTCTTTATGTGTTTGAGAGGAAGCCAATGGAGTCAGAGTTGAGACAGTAGCTCTTTCATTTGTTGACAACAAGAGGAATGATTATTTAATTTGCAAACTAAAATCAAAATAAAAACAAAAATACAACTGGGAGAAGACTAACACATGAACATTTTATGCATGAAATGACAAATATCTGATGCTGAAACACAAGGACAGGTACACGTTCAGGTTTTGAAACATGTTTCAGATGCCTGGAATAAGGTCTGTGGTTCACATAAGCTGTCACCATTTTCATGTTTTATTATGAAATAAAACATACAGGCTTGTACCCGCTTGTACCCGCTTGTACGCGGGTA